CTTAATCACCTCTACCCCAAACGAACTTTTTAGTGATACAAAAGAATGGCCTTTTTAAAGTAAGTTGATATCTCAATGCTTGATTTATTATTGTTATCATCCTTATTGGTTCGGGAAACCCATCTATTCGATCTCTTTTTACACTAGAGAATGTGTATAACGATAATTGCCCTATACCCAATCTATCCCTTTTTTCACCTTTTAAGTGATTTCTACAATAGGGCTTCTTCTCGCACTGCGAAAACGAAGGACTAGGCGAAATGCACCCTCTGCGGCGGTGGTCTTTCATTTTCTTCGCGCCGGCCCCGGTCTGGTATCGGGCCGGCGGTGCGCGGTGGGTGAGCGGCGTCAATGGGGCCGTTTTCGCCGCGAATTCGGCGGACGGGGATGCCGAATTCGGCCGGACCTCGACGAATAGGCTCCCCTCCCGCCGACAAATCGCCCATGGGAATCATTTCAACTGGAAAGAAGAAGTAAAGCGGTCGGGAAGCCCACTTAACGACATCTCCCCGGCGATGGGGGATCTGAATCGAACGGAAGAGCATCGGCAGCGGGTTGCTGGATGGGTTCCGGTTGTAAAGCTCTTGAGTGATCAGCGCCTCCGTGTGGCCATTATCGGCCGTATGAATGGTGGGAAATCATCGCTGTTTAATCTTCTGTGTATGGACCCCACCATCCCAAAAAAGAAAAACATCGTGAAGGACTTTGAAGGCATCACGCGGGATTCCGTCGAAGGTCATGGCGTGCTGAACGATATGCACTTCACCATCATCGATACACCTGGTTTTATGGATGGCAACATTGTCGAGGAGTCTTTCCGGTCGATTGAGACCGCGGATGCTATTATGTTTGTTGTAGCCGTTGATCAGGACATCACGGAGGAGGAGTACCGCTTGGCGCAGTTTATCGCGATAAAGCAGGTCCCCGCCTTTCTCGTGGTGAATAAAATGGACCTGGTACCGATGGAGCATGAGGCGGCTGCCCTGGCGAGCTATGAAGGGCTTCGACTTGGCCATGCGATCCCGCTCTCCACACGGAGACGGGAGGGATTAGACCTCCTCGCGGCTGTTATGGAGCCCTTGTACCACATCCACACCATGTACAAAATCGAGAACGATTGGGACATCGAAGATCTCGCGATGCAGGGGGATGCGGGCGCCATGGAGGAGATTCAAGACCGAAACTGCACCGACAGGTTTATTCGCGTCGCTATTGTGGGCCGCACAAATAGCGGCAAGACGAGTTTGATCAATCGGCTGCTGGGATTTGAGCGGAATCGCGTGGCCGACGAGGCGAACACCACGCGCGATCCGATCGAGCTGCCGTGTGTGTACAAAGGGCGGAAACTGAAGTTGATCGACACGGCCGGCCTGACGCGCCAGCGCTTTCAGGTCGACCGCGAGTTTATTGGCCGCCTTCACGCGCTCTCCATCAACGAAATTCGCTACGCGCACGTGGTGGTCGTCGTCTTCGACGCGACTGAGGGACACCCGAATAAATACGACATGGCCATCCTCCACCGCGCGGCGGCGGAGGGACGACCTTTTCTGCTCTGCGCAAGTAAGTGGGATGTGGTGCTGGACCAGGGCGCCACCGCCGAGGCCATCGACTTTAAGATCAAGCGCCAGGTGCGGGAAGTGAAGTACGCCAACGCGGTCGTGGTCTCCGCTCAGAGCGGGCTTAATCTCACCCTCCTGCTGGACCAAGCTCTCGGGCTCTACGACCTGTGGAATCGACACGTGGGGCGGGCCGATCTGACGCGGTTTTGGCGCCGGCTGGAGCGCTCTGTCATCCTTCCCCACCACGTCGCGCGTATCGGGCGAATCACGCAGGTGAATATCCGCCCACCCACCTTCCGCCTGCAGCTTCAAACTAAGGACGACTCCAATCTGCTCCCTAAGGCTATGCAAGAAATGCTCAAGAATGCTCTCATCGAAGAGTTTGACTTTAAGGGAGTGCCAATCCGTCTCATTCAAGACGTCAGGGACTCTAATCCCGATTATATTTAAGCAATTGTACCTCTTCCATTTGTAAGGAAGAGGGACTTGGAAAGAGTGAACGAGCAATTCGATATCAAGTTGAAGAAATTTCTGGTATGGTTGTATAATAGAACTCAGCATTCTATAATCTATTAAACAAGCGAGGATTGTAGCTTTAAACTATACTTTCACAGTTTTTCTTCTCTCTGTTGTCTACTTTTTTTTCTGATGTATTGATTAAATTTTGTATGGGGAAAGGGAAATTCGATATAGATATATATGTATATATCCATTCATCGATCCATAACTAAATAGATACCGCAGCACTTATCGTTGTAGGTATAACTACGACTTCATAGTTTATAAAGCATAACTGAGAAAAGGTCGGATCTATGAGAAAGAGAGAACGGCAGCCGGATAATGGCGAGTATGGAAGAGACAGACCTTCCTCGTGCAGCCCCGCACGAGAAGAGACCGCCAAGATTCCCTCTACTTTCGCAGCTTCATCCTCATCGCCTTCCTTTTCATCATCTGCTTCCGCATTACACCATCCTGATCTGTCTCTGCCGAAATTTCATACAAGTTTTGGGTCGTATTTATGGAATCTAGTCGGTGTCTTATTTTTTTACCGCTTCACTTCCGAATTACACAAAGTGTGTGTTGCGTTGTTGAAGATTGTGGCAGTATCGTCAGCGGGGGCAGAGCACTTTAGCCTTTCCTCGAGTTTAGATGCGCACAATCTTTTAGCCTCCTTTGAGCGCAATATCAAAGTTGCGTGGGAAGTGTGGAGACTCCATGGGTCTCCTGAGGAATCTCACCGCCACGATCCTGTCGTCCGGCAGTACATACGCAAACTTCTACAATCCCTGCAGACCGCACTGAGGGATGCGACGGATGTGCCGACGGCGTGTAGACAACTCCAACGTTTTCTGGAAGAGGAAGGGTTTCCACAGGAAGAGAATGGCGAGCTTTTTGACATCCTCATTGCGCATCGCCAAAACAAAGAGATGAACGGGTATTCCTACCACGTGCGCTCATCCATGCAGCTGCCCTTGCTCCCGCGTTATGAAGGCGATAAGAAACTTGAAGAGGATCACAGCCGACCCCGTGTGGGGTACACCGTCCTCCTACCCTGCCCTCACCCCAACGAAAATGTGAACACACGCGTGCAGCTTATAGAGCCGAGAAAGAAGCGCGCACCACTGGATGAGTATCGCATATTTTCCCACCCCAAAAAAGCCTCCACCTACGGGGTGGAGGACTTTCTCGTGGACGAGGAGCTGACATACCGCGCGATCATTGTGCTGGGTTATCACTTGGATACCTTTGGCTCGCTGGTTAACCTTTCCCCGTACTCGCGTTTCCTGCTGTGGAACTTCCTAGGCTGCGATGACGACGCATTTGAGAGAGTTCACAATCGACCCGCCACCACACCTGAAGTTCAAACGGCGCTGCAGAATTTACGCAAAACAATCTGTGTCAAGCAGGCAATTTTTGAGAAAACCCGCACCGCGGCTCGTGAGGCGGCGCTTCATATTAACTGGTGCGCGATCAGCGCGCAATGGCGGGATCGCGTGTTGTACTCCCTTTCTGAGGTGAACGAGCGGAATTGGTATTCGATGGGTGACGTCCCGCGCCAGGGCGGCCGCGTCGTCTTTCCAAATTATGCGGGAAACGCGTTGGTCTGCGATCTCGCGATGGGGGTTTTGGAGCGAATGGCCGCAACTGGTGGCGGCCCTGCCCCTCCGCCGGACTCGCCCTCCGCGGCTGTCATCCTGCTCGCGATGAAGGCCGTTTTGCT